TTTCCGCTCGCATAGCCATTCCCACGATCATTCCTCGCTCTTCTTTAGACCTGGTGATTGTTCTCACCCTTTCTTCTTGCACCATGGTGCCATACACCCGATTCAACGAGGGTAATGGATCTGTTGCCAAAACATTTGACCGTGCAGTTCCATAGCCCTCATCATCTAGCTCCATCAAGAACTGATGAATTTTTTCTTCTTCTCTTCGTTTCTCAAGTTGCGTCATAATATTACACTTGCATCCCCCACATCTACACTCGTGGGATTTGCTCGTAATTTGCCAGTTCATCCCACAACGTTTTCAACTTCCCATAATAGGAAACCATAGTCATTCCTTGTTGTTTGCATTCCGCCAACTCGACTTTAGCTGCTGGATTCTTGGTCCGTTCACGATCGAGAATCGTTCCTTGATGTCATCCCATAGGTCCTTTGCGTTTTCCATGTATGCAACAGTGGAACGCAAACTAGGTTTTATAGTGTTTAGTATCCAAGATACAAGCATCAATTGAATTGTCCACCAATCTTCTATCTCGAGATGTGTCTTCTTCAGGTTCCTTATGAGTTCCATCTATGAAACCCCATTTCCTTCGAGCCCGCAGAGATATCTTCACGGCCCTTGCCCATTCCTCGTAATTCTCTCCTCGTAATTGTACCTGTGTAATCACATTTCCAGGATTATCACTGGCACTCGGATCGTATGGCGATGGTGTTTTCTTCACCGCCTCTCCTCTCTCGCCATTTTAGAAGTACGATCGTGTTCTCGAGTCGTTGGATATCGAGTTTGGTTCGCTCCGATACCATGATAAAAATATTTTCAAAAACCCCTGTCTTGTATTGAATATGATAGCACAATATATACATGAAATACAGAAACATTCTAGGCTATAATTACGCTAACCATTATAGTCGGTATCCTAAATTTGTCTATTAACAGATATGACATTAATGTGCATCACTGTGCATCGCTGTCATGCCAAGCTAAATATGGAAAAAATTAATCATGTAGAATCATGGCATGATACGGTATTTGTAATCGTATATTCTATGTTTATCAAAAACTTCAACCCAAGTTAAGCAAATTAATAGATTTTTAAGTTTTGCTTTTTATTTAACTTTTTTTGTGCACGAGTATCAAATGCATTTTTAATATGGATTTGTATGAAGATTAAACATATATTTTGAACAACAATATCAAATGGAATCTAAATATGAAAATATCACAAATTAAACTGAATCCGATTGCACTGGTTGAATAAAAACATATTCGTGCTTAGATTAGTCCTTAGGAGGTGCGTGAATATATGTAGTTATGTCATCTGAAAAGAAACTCAGAATGAAAAGAGACATTGAAAAAAAGCAGAGAGAAAAAGAGAAGGGAACGCAGGCGAAGCGATGACAATAAGACATGGATCCACTTTAAGTGTTTACTTATTCAAAAACTTTGAAGTTGGAAACAGTTTTTCTTTGGTCGGTCGAGACAGAAAGCGAGGGTCACAATGTCACATATATATAGCTGCGAGTCAAAGACTAACTAGCCACAATACACCAATATCCTTTCCCTCATAATCTTAAAAAACGATCTGTCCCCGTTGATGGACACGTTCTGAAATCCTTTCGCGTAACGACAAATGCGACTTCGTATGCACTCCTAGTTGTCTACAAAGTCAATCATATTTTTGTGACGTATACGTGACGAACATGTTACATGCATACTAGAAAACAAGGGCAATGCCTTTCACCAATGCAATCAGTATAACCAAAGTTATATGTGGACCTTCATAATTAACGTGTGAGTAAGAGAAAGAAAGCTATCATCCAAGAGAAAAAATTTAAGATGGTGACTTAGCAGCTTACCATGGCTATTTAATGCAAAACTATGCTTGAAAGGTAGTATGTGGTCGAAAGCTTGGAGTTGACCAAAAAATGTCCAACTTTCCTGCATGGATAGTCATCGGAGGCATCCAATTATATGATGATAATAATAAACAATGAATCTACTATATACATATACAATGACATCAAATGATTCGTGTTTCTAGATGATTGAGTTGTTTCACATTAATTAAATTACCTAATAGTTTCAATCTTTTTACTTCTTGTAGACATAAATGAATAGTTTGTATATTTATTTAATAAACAAGTATGCATGTCTGATACATATTCTGTTTTTCCGGAAAACCCTTTATCTGATTATCTCAATCTCTCACTGTGACAGAATTGAAAGCTAAATTTTATTGTCTGCTAAAAATCAGAACTCTTATGGAGAACAATGTTGTGTAACTTTTCCGGTTTAGCCACAACCATGAGGGTAAAATAACAAGTATATACGTATACACACAACTTAGAAACTGAATTAAAATTGATTCAATTGAAATAAAAATGAAAAAGGTGCATAGTATTAGTAGCTAGATAGCAAAATATTGCATATTACTTTTGGCTTTTGTGTTTTAGAGCAAAAAGGGTGTGGGAAGACAGAAAGGAGGCTAGCTAGGACCTGATTTTCAGCATGACAATGTGGCACATCCCAATTCCCAGTTATGTATAGAGACGTGTCCAAGTTGAAGAACAAATCCAAACACAAAAGGACATGAAAAGTTAAGTATATATATGGAGAAGATAATGAGGAGTAGGAACAACTTCTTGTTTGCTTCTGAATACTTCTGTTTCTTTTGCTTTCATAAAAAGACGCACATGCATAATTCATATATATGGATCGTACATTCTACATAAACGATAATATATCGAATACACGTATTTCAGAAATTTGGGCTGCGCAAGATAACTCATTTACCTAACACCTCTACAACTCTCATTTACATCCAACGTCTCAATTCTGGATCAACAACTTTTTAGTAATAGTTTCCATGTCATATGAATGGAGAGACAGACTTCACTTTTATATATTTTTAAGAAGTTTTTATGTAATTTGAGTATATAAGTTTTCAATTTTTTTCTCTCTCTAGCTGTTTCTGTATTGAGTTTTAATTTATTTCATAATACAAATAATAATATATAATAATAATAATAAATAATAACATAGAGTAAGAGTAGTTGCTAAATAGCTATGCTATGAAAGGACTTGAGCCTACAATTTCTTTCAATATCAATTCCGTATTCGTATGATATGTATGTTCATTCTCGTTATTACGGAGTAAAATTATTTTCTACCAAAATTCATTCGATTAAATCGTGTAAAATTTCAATGTTGACTTAGTCCAAGCATATACGTCGGCATTCTTTTCACTTTTGAATTGTTATACAAATACACTTTTGACCTAAAACCTAATACCATGAGTTGAACTAAAACCTGTATAATTGAAGTGTGAAATTGTAGGTTCATACCAATGAGACTGAGATTCTTCATTCATTAAGATAAAAAAAATGATTGTGTTAGTTTAAATTTAACTACCCCAAAACAATATCTCACAAATATAAATATATATACTATATTTTAATAGTTCTTGTATCTCACTACTCTTTCTTCTTTGTTTCGTTAAATTATTCTCGTTATTTAGCTATTATTTTAGATATTATGTAAAACTTTGAGAGGTTGAATTGTATAAGTTAATATTTATAATTGGCTTTTTGTCTACGTTCCAACTTTAAAAATTTATATATTTTAATTAAAATTTGAAATATTCTGTTTAAATTTTATATTTATTTTATATCATACTATATAATTTGTTTTTTGTGAAACAAAATTTGAAGCTAAAAAATTGCTTCCTCTTGCCATAGCAGCGTAACGTTTGAACTGAATCATGACCACATTATTGCACGCAACCAACCCACTTGAGTTTAGTAACGCCGTCCCAGGTTGAAACGAAATATCCGGTTCAACGAAACTTGGACCGCTACCCTTCTTCATTATTGAACCCACGTGTCTCAAATGCTGACGCAATTAATAGTAAGAAACAGTAAAAGCAATAATTATTAATGGTAACGCTCTCATAAAATAATACTAAAAAAAAGACGCAGTACAGGAGGCACAGCTTGTGATTTCAAACGAAAAAAGCAACCTTGTGGGGCCCACATGATGCGTTGTCACCGACCTAGCATGGACACGTGCCCCTTTGTCTTTTAAAGTCAATGCTTCCTTCGGCTCCAATTACCCATAATCCCCATGCAAATATCATATACTATCACTTTATCCATTACAGGGTGTCCGACACACGTGTCACTCGCACATCCTCCGCCGTGCCGTCTCCGGTCCCCTCGCCATAATCTTGGACTCGCTGTCGGGATATCTCAAACCTCATTTGCCCTTCCCAAACATTTCCTCTCACTTCAATTTTTTATTTTCTCTTTTTTCTTTCTATTTTTGGGTGTGATTTCTAATTGGAGAAAGCCCATTGTAATATTATAAACACCAACATACGAATGCAAAGGGAAAAAAGAATATATAAAATATGATAGTATAAATTTACGTAGACAAGTATTTGCTCTACAAAAAAATATTGAATATTATGTTAAATATGCAGCTGACAAGAATACATTTTAAGGATTTAAAAATATTGATACCAATTGCTTCGATTTTTCTATGATTTGTCATGGAATAAAACAAAAGATATGTACACTATCAGTTTTGGCATTTCTAGCTTTTTCATAGTATATGTATGCTGAATTGTTGATCGCTTTCTATTTTGGTAAAACACAATTCATGCCTTGGAGTGATATACTTGTTTTTAATTTAGCACTTTTTCTTAAAGTAACATCTAGTCTATGGAGGGAAGCAGACATATGCACACCATAGCAATAATAGAAACTTCATATATAACTTAAAAATTTGATATGGACGTTGGCACTTGCCAATAAAGTCAAAGCTAGCTCGATTAAGAAATTGAAACTATCAATAAATGATAAAAATTAGGAAATTACAGTCATTAACACCATGGATCCGTATCAAGTATCCAAGTAAACAATTGGGAGAGACATGTGGTATATAATCAATCAACGTTTTGGTTGATTTAATTAATCGTTGATGATCTATGTCTCTCATCTCATTACATGAACTCATTCACATCTAAAATATCTTGGATTTCAAATTTCAACATGTTGCTACTTTCATAGCTTTGATCTCTCTCATCTTCTGTGTTGCTCCCGTTGATTATCGTGGAGTTTGAATTCAACCGTGTGGGGCTTGAGGAAGGTGTGGATAGAACTGAAGCGAAGCTGAAGTTCTGAATGCTGTTATTGGAATGGAAAGTTGAAGGTTCGGACAACGGAGGATACACGGGATTTTGACCACTATAACTATAATAATTATAGCTTGATAACTGAGGGATACAGTCCTCCGTTAAAGTGCTTAAAGCAACCCCATCTTTGTGCCAATCGCTTATTATCTGGTCATCGTGAGAATGTTGTTGGTAAGTGAAGTCTGTGAAACTTGATGATGGATATGGGTCCACATTATGGGGCTCAACCAACTGTGGTTGAGAGAGAGGCAATGAAACACAAGGGGTGCTGAGCATGGTGCTGCATGCAGGCGCTTCTTGAACTGGATCTTGAATTTGGACAAGGTGTGGAGCATGATTCTGAACTTGTGGCTCGCAGAGCTGGTTCTGTTGACCTTTCGGAACACACATGTCAAGGTCTTTGTGTTGCTGTGAGGAGGAAAAGAGTGAAGAAGCCATCCTTAAAAGCTCAGGGTTCACCATAGACTGATGCATGCCAAGGAACATTTGTGATGAACCATAGAAAGATGCGTTTAGAATGGAAGAGATATCCAATAGATCAAGTCGAGGACTGTGTGTCACAGGGTCAATTCCCATCCTCAAAAGCCTTTTCCTAATGTGTGTGTTCCAATAGTTTTTGATTTCGTTGTCTGTCCTTCCTGGTAAGCGAGCTGCAATCGCAGACCACCTACACAAACCAATAACACATAACTACCAATCAGTATAAGTAATATTAATATAAGTTTATGCACAGCTATCTATAAGAAGTTCGGATATTTTTATCTACTCAGTGTTTTATCTCAATAAACTATAAGTGTTGTTTGTCTTATATGATAATCTGCGTAAAAACAATAAGAAGAAACAAGAACTCACTTGTTGCCGAGAATGCTATGTAGCTGAATTATTGTCTCTTCCTCTTCAAATGAAAACCGACCTCGCTTTATATCTGGTCGGAGATAGTTTGTCCAACGAAGACGGCAACTCTTTCCACATCTTTGCAACCCTATTATAATAAAACACCAAACTCATCAGTTGAAAATAACATGATTAAACAAACAAAAAACCATTTATTTAATTGTACATATTTTGTTTTGTTTGATTAATTTGGCGACATACCAGCATTCTTCGGGAGTGTCCTCCAATTCCCATATCCATGTTTCTGAATGTAATCAACGAGTTTCTGATCCTCCTCAGCTGTCCATGGTCCTTTCTTGAGGCCATTCTTGTCACAACAAGGTGCTCTCCCCATAGCAGTAGTAGCTAGGAAGTTGTGTGATGATAACCCAAATGTTAACCTTGTGTTGAGCTACTTTTATAAGGTACCTTGGCGAATGAGATATGGTTGAAGGTGACGAGAGACAGAGGAGAAAAAATTTGAGACGTGAGAGAATAGAAAAAACAAAGAGAGGGAGAAAAAAAAAATGGAGTTATGAAAGTAGGGTCCGTAGTAGGACGTACTAGTTGTGTTGTGGTATAAATAGGAAGAAAGTGAAGATTAAGAAACAAGGGAAGTCAAATTGATTTGGTGCCGTCCTCCTGTTATCTCTCTCGGCATTGGCTACGTGTCTCATTTAATCTATCAATTTATTTATTTTTCACATTTTTTTAAACTATTGTTAATGTTTTTGTAGAGATAATTAAATTTCATTTACATCACTGTGTTAATCCATTTTTACGCATGTTTGATGTTTAATTAAAAATTTGAGTTTAATTAAATTAACATTATAAACAAATAATTTGCTAATTATGAGTTGTTTGTGTTTATATATTAACAAAAAGCATTAAGATTATGATGGAGTGAAGTGTGAAGACATCATTTTCCGGGAGTGTGACCCTAACTTTCTGGATTCATATTAGCTGTAAACAAAATGAGATGCCACGTATGTCATCTTTCTATTTGTATTATTACAGGGACTACACGGCGTTCATTTTCTTGTTTTGTGCATGCACAGATATATTACCTTTTCTTTTCTTCTCTTCCTTTACCCTAAAGCAAGACTTTTATGTTGAATGCTTAGCTTATCTGTTCTACACCATGCTTCAGATTAATTAATGGCTCTTTTATTCACCATTCTCTCATCTCTATCACCTCCATCAATGTCACTTTTGTGTATGATAATTATTCTCATCATTATTAATTTTCTTCTATAAAAATTATAATTATTCTCATTATACACAGGCTTATTTTGTATTTAAACAAATTGGTAAAATATATTATTGTCAAATAGACATTATTAAAAATACTACAAATACAGTAATTAATTAAGTTTAAAACATGGCTTGGCTTGTATATCTCACTCACTTTCATTTTCATCATACATACCCTTCATTGTATCACACCTTTAATGCGTAGGTCATATAAAAATATATATAGTGTTAGTACTATTTCTTAGAAACCAATATCTCAGAAACTTATTAAAAATGTAAATTATAAAATAAACTACACCAGGAAAGTCATTTGAGGGAGCAAATAGTGTAAAAGTCAGCATCTAAAATGTGTGTACATAATAAATGCAAAGAAGATTGGATGGGTATTTAATATACACAGTGGCAATAATAGAGTTCGGTGTTTGCCCTAATTTAAAATACTATATACTCCTCACCAACATTTATTAGGCATGATATGGGATAAGATCTATTTTTATTTTTTAAAATTATAGTGAAAATAAGCTCCTTTTTATTATTATTATTTTCTTATGTTTTTATTTTATATATGCATATGTTACACCTCTTATCAACCTTTGCAATTCGTCATCATTTCTGACATTGTTCAAAAAGTCAAGTATAACATTATGTTTATTTGATGATTAATATAAGAGATTTTCGTAAAAAGAAAAAAACATCCTTAATTTGCTTATTTTCTCTTTTGTTGTCAAAGTGAAGTTTGAAAAGTTTATTGAATTCTATCTATTGGTTGTGCGAGTGTTTCAAATTCAAACGACTAATTTCAATTCATTTCAGTTTGTGAGCTGCTGAAGCTGTTCAAGTCACATGCAAAGGCTTACTTTTTATGAAAAGAGAAGCCATCTTTGACGTTACATGCTGCATCTTTCATCCCAACAAGACTATAATTATATTATGTGGCTCCATGATTATGTTTTAAAAATAAACTTAGTAAAAGCCTCATATATATCCTTCGTAAAAGCATCATTATTTGGTAATATTTAAGTACTAGTAACATCTTATACATCTCCATATCATATTATTAATTACATTATGTGTTCTTTTATGTTAGTAAAAATTGTTTGACTAGTATAGATTAATGTGACAGTTTCATGAAACGCTTTCGAGAACAAATGTATATCTGGTGATTCTTGCACAGCAATAAACTTTAACGGTGGTTTTAAATGAGAAAAAAAGGGGAGACGAAAGAAAAGAGAGCGAGAGAGAGAGGGTTGCGTGATTTAGTAGAGACGAAAGTAAAAAACAAGAAAGTGGAATTTGGAGACATGGGATCCACCATTAGAGTTTCCGTACAACATAATTTAGGTTTTACTGTGGTGGAACCCGTAACCGTATGTTAATTTTAACGTGTGATTTTTTTTTTCACTTTTTTTATTAAAAAAAACAAATAAAACGATATTATCACAAAAATATTTTCTCATTATTTCTCTTAACTTTTTTCACATTAAACAATTTTCATAATTTTTCCATTTTTTTCTTTTCTTTTTTATTTTAATTTTTTCCTCTTTATTATTAAATGTATATTCAGTTTGGTTGAGCGAAAAAAAAATAAATAGAGAGAGTAGACAAAGAAAATAAAAGAAATAAATAAAATTCATAAAGAAGAGATTATATAATTGAAAATAAATGAGAAAAAAAAATTATTTATTTATTATTATTTGTTACTATTAATATTATTTTTATTATTATTATTTATTATAGTAAAAATAAAAAATTAGATCTATAATTAATTATGAGTATCATAATCGATTGTTATTTTAAAAGAAATTAAAATGCTTATATTTTAACATTAATCGATTACATGTGGGGTATAATTGATAATGGTGTTGAATGAGATTGATTTTTCACCTTTTATTTTTCTCAATTTTGCATGAAAAAAAATGAAGGTGAGACTCTCTTTTTTTTCCTCTTTTTTTGGTAAACCCTTCTGACCAAACCACTATACACTCCTCCATCTTTCTTCCTTCGGTTCCTCCCACTCTCTTATTAGCACTATAAACTCCTCCATTTTTCTTCCTTCGGTTCCTCTCACACTCTTATTAGCACTATAAACTAACATGTAGTATAATAAAACATTAAACACAATAATTATAACCACTAACTGAAAAAATTATAAAATATTCCACGATCATAATTTATTTCTCATATTCTTACATAAAAACAATGTTCTCAAAATATATACAATATGTGAGCAAGATTTACTCTTTTGATACATTTTCCTTTTTCACCTAATACACGTAAAACACATACAAAATTGACGTTCACGGTACATGTTTGCTGGAAAAGAAAAGTATGATGAAGAAATGCATTAATGGATATTGATACTTTTGTTTTTTAGTCATACTTTGTCAAGATCCATGAATGAAAAATAGGGTAAGGTGTGGAATTACCATTGGTTACTAAGAATACATTGTCTTGAAATGGTCTCACCCAACTCTGCCTAATGCAGACACAGGGTACAAAGTCAAACGTTAATTTAATCATCTTCTAAGATTTCCTCCCATGATTTTGTTTCCCTTTATGTTTTGTTTAACAATGCTCCTATCACATAGCCACCATTTTTTAAAACCTAACTCTACTCTTTTTGGCAACAGTTTACCTCACTCGAGAAAATGCTCAAGTTTTCGTATTAAAAAACTCTTCAACATTGCATAGTGTGGGAGCCATTGCTAAATTATGCATATGTTTATCAATTCAAACCTAACTTTCTCTACAATCTACAAAAGGTTATGATACGTTGATCAAGTTTTTGGTGCTTCATATCCCAGAGACGTTGTCATGTCATGCAACGAAATCATGACATAGTTTATTACGAGAGTTATTAAATATAATACATTAATTGTGTCCAATGTTTTTCCTTCCCTATTCGCGCCATGCATAGATATGGTTATTTAATTTGGAGGTTGTAATTAAGCATCCACAACAAGGTGTCCACGTGTTGTAAAGAAGCATTCGTGTCGACAAATTTGGTGACTGTGTCTTAGAATTTGTTAATTATTTGTTATGAGCTGTTGAATAGCTTCAACAAACTTTGAAAAATATTTTTTGTTTTTAAGGCATTGTTTGCAGATACGAGATCCGAAGCGTGCGCAAATAAAGAGCTAGTTCTAATATTTTAACGTAATCAAGAACTTTATTGGAGTCTAAATAATTGATTATGATTCACAGAAGATACGAGTGTGGAGAAGATTGTACTTTGCTAGATTGCTAGTTCAATATTATAAAGAACACCTGGCCATTCATGGAGCTCCAGAACTTTCTGCATGGATTAGGGTTTTGTGTATATATAATAATAGCTTTGCAATCCTATAAATTAATATAATGAAGGTTAGAGCAGGAAATAGTTTAAGACAAAATTATTTGCGTACATGGAATGCAGGCTCTTTAGGTAGGTGTTCAGTGAAATTCAGACCACACTTAATTCAACGCCACCACTATCATTTTGGTTTAGTATATTCCTAAAAAACACTAAATGGTATAAAACATAATAATTCATAGAATTAATACAACACTTTTTATAATATACATGTATCAGATATGTCGAATATATATATATATATATATATATATATATATATATATATATATATATATATATATTTAATATCTAAGCTATCTGAGTATTAATATATTTCGAAATTTTTGAAAATTACTTTAACATATCTATTCAGTATAAATATTTTTATTATTTCAAATTGTTACGATAATTCACATTTATATAAACAAGTCAATTATCTCATTTCTTTGACTCATATTCTATTTATTTTTATTCAAAGTATTGAAGAATTTTTTAAGTGTATTCCTTAAAATTACGTAGTATGTATATCATTGATTGGTTAAGTGTATATGTAGTACTTTGCATTACTTGGATAAAAGATGTTTCTTGTTAAAAAAAATAAAAAATTATTATTATTATTATTATTATTATTATTATTATTATTATTGCATTCTAATAATAGTCAAGTTCTCTATTAAAATTGTCATAAAATACTTAGAGATGTAATTAACGAGAGGAATACTATTCTCTGACATAATATATTTTTGTTTTATTTAAAAAACATATAG